AAATTTGCTTGTAAAAATTGGACTAGCTTTGTTTTTCTTTTGCAGTACTAGGTATTGAACACACATGTTAGGCAAAAGCTCTCCCACTGAACTATATTGATACCCAGATCATTTTACTTAATTTTGAGACAGTCTCACTAAGTTGCCCAGCCTGGGATTGAATTTGTGATCCTTGTCTCTCACATTTCTGGATCACTGGAATTAGAAGCATGTACTATTTCATCTGGCTTTGAGTAGGTTCTTTAAGCCATCACAGCACCCTGCTCTGAAACATGAGTTCCAGTGTAGCAAGAGAGGCCCAAAAAATTCCAAACTGAGGCATCATCCTAGAGATGATATTGTAAATGAGTATTTGGAAGTTTTGGAAGAGACCTTAAACCTGCTGCCCTATTATTTTTTACTCATAATAATTGTAATTTTTATTGTGTGTTTATAATATGCCCTTATTAGATATTTGGCCAACCAGGCGAATGGTGATTGCAAAGCTCAGTTTTTACACTCACATTAATTTATTGATGCTTTCAAAACTGACATATTCTTTTAAACATGTATTTTATATTATGTGCAACTTGTGGAGGAAATGATGATTTGCCTTTTACAAAGTTCCCAATCGTTTATCATTCAATGCTATTTGGAGGAGATGCAGAAAGCAATCTGTGATCAAAATGGACAATCTCACTGGGCTATGGGGAAAAAAACTGTAATTGTAATCAGAGAGAGGTCTCTGTGCTGATTAGTTTGATTTTATCACAGAGGAAATAACTCTGATTTAGCTATGCTGATAGGGCTTTTGGTGAAAAATGAGAACATGTTAGACAAAGTGGCTGAATTATGGAAGCGATAGAATTTTTGCCAGGAGAATGGAGTAAGAGTCAGAAACAGGCAGTGATTGCTACTCACTCACCTGGTTGATTAAGCCCATTACAGGACAATGGGATATGCACAAAACTAATCCTTATAGGACATAATAATTTATAGATTAATTTAAAACTGTTCTGTGTCTTATGGTTTAAATGAAAACAATATGTGGATGCTTTAAATTTCATCTTGATATTAAAGTTCCCAAAACTTTGTATGTGTGCATGCTTGTTCTGTTAATTTC